ATAATAATACTAATAATAATAATAATAATAATAATAATAATAATGGTATTAATTATTATTATATGTAATTATATTTATCAAAATTACATAATTATTATTATTATTATATTATTATAATTATTAGTGGAATTTCTTTGTTATTATTATTATTATTATTATTATTATTATTATTATCATTTTAATATTATTGTTGCTATTGTTTGTTTTGTTATTACCTGTATCATCATGACTATTGTTGTCCTAATACGAAAGAGATGACAATATATTACGCTTTGGGTTTGGGATGAAAAATACCTGAAGATAGTTAGAGAAAGGTGGAGAAAAGTGAATAAAGGGATTGGGGGGGGGGGGGGGAATCGAAGTCCTGACCATGATTAGCGTTTGGTAGAACTGTTTTGGTCTTCGCCCCAAGACGACCAGCTCTATTATAAGACGGCCACCTGTACAAACGGCCACTTTCCATTTCCCCTTTTGCGTTTTTTTTATATAGATAAGTTCACTGTGTAAAACGGTCACCTGCTGTCACCACACAACCCCTTTCACACCAAACAAAAAAACCCACATGTCTCAGACGACCACCATATTTTACACACAACCCCTATCCCACCAAAAAACACCTGTCTAATACGGCCACCTCTCTCATCCCACGAGGTTTTGTCATAAATGTTATGTAAATGTCTATGTATCCATTTATGTATTTTGTGAATTACAGTGTATATATTATTTTATTCTCATTTCGTGACGATGTGTAATCGTGTGCGTGTGATAAGCAAGTAGATGTGTGTGTGTGTGTGTGTGTGTGTGTGTGTGTACGTGTGTGTGTGTGTGTGTGTGTGTGTGTGTGTGTGTGTGTGTGTACGTGTGTGTGTGTGTGTGTGTGTGTGTGTGTGTGTGTGTGTGTGTGTGTGTGTGAGTGTGTGTTTGTCTGTTTTTGGCATACATGTGTGCGTGTTATGTGTTCGTGAGTGTGTATGCGTGTGTTTGTGTGTGTGTATATGTATATGTGTGTGTGTTTGTGTGTATATGAGTGTGTGTGTGTGAGTGTGTGTGTGTGTGTGTGTCGCGTTCATGAATATTTTTCTTACATGCATTTATGTAAATCGCCTAGAGCTGTGTTTACACGGGAGTGGGCGCTATAGAAATGATCTTCATTATTATTATTATTATTATTATTATTATTATTATTATAAATAATAATAATATTATGCACTGGCCCCTGGCGTTGTGGACGAGCCTTCATAATCCAATCACATGTTGTTGTTGTCAGGTAGTCCCTCCAACCGATCATGTTGCGTAGGCCCCTCCCACTGCATGTTGACCAATAGGTAACACATTGTCAGCTACTGGCGAGGGAAGCGTCTGATCCCTCATATCCTATACGTCCAGCTCGTACCCCATAAGCCCTGCCCACAACTCATACCCCATAAACCCTGCCCACAACTCATACCTCATAAGCCCCGCCCACAACTCATACCCCATAAGCCCTGCCCACAACTCATACCCCATAAGCCCCGCCCACAACGCATACCCTATAAGCCCCGCCCACAGCTCATACCCCATAAGCCCCGCCCACAGCTCATACGCAAATCATAAGTGAGGTCTGTAACAAAGTAACAAGGGACGTTGGCGTGAACTTGTGACAGAGGCGTCGCTAGTTCTCCGAGTGGTGTCGACCCATGTGCTTGTTTTACCATAGCAACACTCAGCCTTACTTGTCTGACTCATGTTATTTTATTGTCACCCTTGCACAAAATCAACAACAAAATAAAAAACCTAACAAAAACCAAAACAGCAGCAGCAACAACAACAACAACAACAACAACAACAACAACAACAACAACAACAGAAACAACAATGCGGCTACCTTCAGTCTGGACCTTAATTAGGAGAGAATGGTTTGTTTTCTTCATTTTGATCAGTCCTGCCTAAGACGGACACCTGTCTTTTATGGTCACTTTTCTCCTTGACAATGGGTGGCCGTCTTACACAAGTCTGACTGTTTGTGTATTAAGCTTGGTGTGTGTGTGTGTGTAT